ATAATTGATATTGTGTGAAAGTTTGAATATATAAATTATATAGTGAACTATATCACAAATTAGATATTATTGATATAAATAGTGACCTATTTCACATAAATAGTGAACTATTTCACTATTTAAATTAAAATAGTGAACTTTATTTTAATATAATTATTTGCTTATTTGATATAGTGAATTACAAATTTCATATATTAAAAATGCGTAATTGTAAACTATTTGTGAATATATTTAAGTATATGTAGAATAATGTACTATTTGTGAATATAACAAGTATAGTTGATTGTTTGTAAATAAATTTAACTATATAGACAACTATATGTTTATATATAGCTAACTATACATGAATATATAACTGATTATATTTACATATTATATTTCTAACTATATAGGTAATAGTGAAAAATTCGTGAATATAACTAGTATAGTTGACTGTTTGTGAAAAAAAAGAGACTATATAAATAACTATATACGGGTATACACTATATAGTTAACTACACATATATATATATATAAGTATTTATATTTGAAAATAGTTAGGTACATATCTAACTATATACTTATTCATACACAAAAGAAAGTAGATAATAGTGAAGTATTCGTAAATATAACAAATATAGTTGATTGTTTGTAAAGAAAATTAAGTATAAAGATATGTATATAGTTAATTATTTAGTTATAGAAATGAAAAGTCTAGATAAGTATATTTAGATACATAGTTAACTACCTATATAAATATATAATTAATAGAAATAAAAATTTCAAACATTTATGATGTTGGTTTTTGTTTTTTTTTTCTAATAATGAAAAAAAATTATTTTCTTTAATTTTTCTTTGGACATGAGAGAAAAGAAAATTAATATGGAAAAAATATATTAAATGAGATAATAATGAAAATGAGATATGTGACTACTTACCATAATTACATTAAAGGTAAAATTAGAATCTCATGTAATTAGAATGTTAGTTACTAAATTTTTATTTATTTGATGTTATATAATTAAATATGAAATTAATAAGTAATATAGAGTACAATTTCCCATTAAAATTTTTGGTAATTACATAAACCATACTATGACTAAAACTACCTCAAAAATTAGTAGATCAAATATATTGAGATGATACTGTTAATCAATTCAAAAATATAAAACATAGAAACAAGGTAAAATTTTGTACCCATTCGAATTATTATATATTTTTGTTTTGGTTCGAATTGGTGAATTTTGATTCGGTTCGGTTCAATTTAAGTATTTTTTTATTCGTAGGTGAAACAAATTTCTATACTAAATAAAAAGTAATTGCAAATTTGAATAAACAAAAGCAAATTTAAAATTTCATTTCTATATATTCATTTCATCTTGCGCACAGCGCGGGTACTATCCTAGTACACAATAATTTCTTAAACATTTGAGAAAATAGAAGCT